GCTTCAGAGAGTAACCAGGTAGCGCTGGAGAGGGGAAAGGTTGAGTGGAGTCAGGCAATCAGGAAGCTGCACCCAGGCCTGCTGCTGCTCACCCTGAACGCTAGGGAAGCAGGAGGTGCCCCCTTGCACACTGGCCTCTCCCTGGCAGCCCTGTGTTCAAATGCTAAGTGCAAGACAGGCCAGATGACCTCTCCATTCCACAACTTCCTGGCACGAGAAAACTGATCTGCCCTAAGTGAGCCCAGTCGGCCCCTGTCCTCACCAACTGGAGGCTCCTGCGCACGCAGCGGGCATTCAGCAAATAGTTGCAGCGTGAGTGAATGGACTCAATTGGGACCCCAACACCCTTGTAAGCCACAGAAGGCTAGGGCCACAGAGCCCGCGGCCAAGTTCAGCCAAGGGCAGCCAGGCACACAGGGGTAGAAGTAGCGAAGGGCGAGGCCACTCCGCTCAGAGTGGAGGTCAGCGGTGTTTTCTGCGCTCTCGCTGCCAGGCCAGGTGGCAGAGCCAGGGGCCCTTCTCCCAAGGTGGAAGGAGTTGCTCAGCCCATTTCAGCTGGGGCTTTCTCTCTCCTCTCTTCTCTTCCTCCCCACCCCCTCTTGACTGACACCAATGCTGGCTCTGACATGATTTAAAAATAGATATTAAGACAAGGAAGTTTAATTTTTAATGCTTTGGAAAGGAAGTGAACACAGAGCTGGCATTCTCTCATGGGCCCCATCCAGGGGTCTCTCAGGGTATGTGCCAGGCCCTTCATCTTGTTCCCTTGCTCCCCAGCACAGCCAGGCCTGACCCACCCTGAGGACTGTCTTGCAGCAGTCCTCTAAGAGGCCAGCCTCCGTCTCTCCATCTGAGCCTCTAACTGCCTCCTGCTCCCAGGTCCAGGCTCATCTCTGCTGCTGAGAAAGGCCAGGTGGGGCCGGCAGGGGCCAGGTCTGAACTTGTACTCTCTGCTGGGACCCCTCAAACCCACTCGTTACCAGAAGATACCCCACACACTCCCTGCGACACTCCAGACCACCCAGTGTGGAGCCCACAGAAGCCCTGATGAGCCAGCCACGTCAGTGCGGAAAACACGCCACCAAGGCTGCTGGAGAGCCCTGACAATGCCTGCTCCCAACGCCAGTGAACGGTCGGAGAGAAGCCTGACCCCACTTAAGGGAGGCTAATCAGGGCCTGTCCCGGCACCCTGCCCGTGGCAGCCCGTGCCAGCCTTGCCCCTGCCCCAGCAGGCACACTGACCGCTGTCTCCTCCACTAATTGGCCTTTATTAAGGGAGCCATCCACAAGGAATAGCTTTCCAGTGGGGCCAGAATGTCACTGTCTGCCAGCCATGATTTAAAGTGATGGGACAGCTCTGCTGGCAAGCACGAAAAATGACCGTTACACTGAGTGGCAATTATGGCAGCCACCTACCTTCACCCCTCCAGAGCAGACAGCAACTCGATTTGGGTTGCGAGAAGCTGGGCCGGGATCATGATTGGCTGTCCCAAGAAAAGGGACACAGGCCCCAGCACTCAGAGGTGCCTTTTGCAGCTTATCCCTATACTCACTCTCTCCTCGACTCACAATCAAAGTCTCCTTGGCTTTCCTGGAGAAGCTTAATTTCACTTAATCTCTAGCTGGAATATTCTATCAGACAGCCATGCAAGGACCCAAGAAAGATGGGGGACAAAAGGGATAAAGAGGAAAGGGGACTCAGACCCCCTCCTCTACTCTCACCATCTGTATCAGGCCCTCAGAAATGCTGCCCTCCTGGGTGCCCCAAACTCCCACAGTGCACTGGGCTGCCAAAGTGGCCAGCACTGTCTGGCTGAAGTCAGCAGTGCCTGGACCCCCACCAGCAGGCAGGCGCCCAGCAGCCCGGGAGGTACCTGCCCTTTTCTTAGTAAGGAGGAGGAGGAGCACAGCTGTACAGCTCCTCCTCAACCTGCCCCCAGTGATGTCACCCAGGCCCTCACCAATGCTAACACCCTGCAAGCTCCACCCAGTGGTGAGGAAGCAAGCACTCACAGACTGTGAGAAGGCTGCCTTATATGCTTCACCTCTCCTCCGCCCAGGAACCTTCCCAGTGCTGGGAGGAGGCAGGGGCGTGGCCCAGTGGGGGTCTGGAGAACTACCAGATGGCTTTGGGATCTATGGGAAGAACTCTTGTCTATTGATCGCAGGTCTCAAGTTCAACCCTAATGTCTCAGAAATGCCTCCTTTTGGGATCTGAGCCATGAGACTAAAACCAGTGATGCTACAGAATTCCTACCAACTGCTCCTGGTCCTGCTGGGCTGGGCTTAACCATCCCTCTCCTTCAGCAGGTCCTGTTCTCTGGCCCCCAAGGATGTGTGCTCTGCGGCAGCAGAAGAGAACTCCCAGGGACCCTGATACATCCACACACTGCCAGCCTTTGATGCTTTCTGCTTTCATTCAGTTCTTTCCTCTGATCTTTCCCCTCACTAACTACAAGAAATCTTCACTTGAAGAGGCAAGTGACCCACCTTCCCCAAATCCTGGCCAATGTCCTGCTCCACCTGCCCCTCCATCCCCCAACAAACACTGGCAAACACTTAGATACACAAGCATTCATTTCTCCTCTGCTAAATTTCCCATCTTTCCTGAGATCTAAGCCTTATTTATCATCTCACATGCTCCTAGCATAGAAGAACTGGGTCTTTGAGACTCAATTTTCCCAGCTTGAGTCATGGGAATTCTGAATATATCAAGTAATCAAAAAAGTCAGGGACCAGGGGGGAGCAACTCCTTGCCTGGTAAGAGAACATAGTCAGCATCTTCTAATTAGGACGAGACAGCAAGTTCTCTCACTATAGATCATAAAGGAAGGACGTTTCATCAACTAGCTCATTAACTGCTGCCAAGCTTTTAAGGGAAGATGGAAAGAATCACTTGTCACCCCACAGCTAAGCTAGGAGAGACTTTATTACAGGCAAGTTTGATACCTAACTTCTCATCCCTATTAAGTGAGACTTGGAATTCCTACCTCATAAAAACATGTTGGAGATTCACAGCTACATCTTCCCATTTATTCACATCCAAATATATCACGAGTACCTACTATGTGCAGGTCACAGGCCAGGGTACTAGTTTGCTAGGAGGTCCCCAAGTCAAGTTGGAATCATGCTGAAGGAACCACAAGCGGATATACCATCTGCGGCCAGAAGGTGGCGGGGTGGGGGTGGGGGTGGGGAGGCACAGCGCGGAGTGGAGAGTTACTGGCCAAATGCACGGAGCATCCCCACAGGGTTAAGTGTTAATATGTGTAAGGTGAGACAAAACAGAAAAGTGGGTTATAGCTATGAAAAAGGACAGAAGAAAGCTGTGAACAACAAAGGACAGCATTCTGATGGACCCAGGATTCATGGAAATACACACTAGTGCTTGGCTGGCACAGATGTTGGCAAACAAGTCAAAGGACCAAAAGGCACTTGCCCACAAGGCAGCTACAAAGTCATTCTTGACATTCCAATGGTTCTCACCACCAGAAAAATAATTAGAATCGCTGCCCTAGCTTCCATAGAATCCTAACCACAGGACAGGTAGCATCCTTCCTAATAACAGTTGGGGTGGCCGGAGGTCCTAGCCCATAGACACATCTGAGGAAACCCAATTTAAGTAATATTAGACAATTCTCTCTAGAAAAGAAACAGGTGCCTCCTCTGCCCCAGGATGTCACATAGTTAATGAGATGAGATGAGGGCAGTGAGGAAGACCATTGTAACAGCCCTCTCTGGACTGGAAAGGAAGCCCAGATTTTAAAGAAGAGAGTGAGTTGCCCAAGGTCACACAAGAAGCTAACAAAGAACCAATATCAAAATCTTGTCTTCTTCCTTCAAAACCCAGAGTGTTCCCTTCTGTGGGAGAAGTCACCCACCCTACACACACTTCTCAAAAAGTTTTCCAGCTAAAGTAGGTCAGTCTATACAAAAGCTGAGCCCCAGTGAACAACTACTTCTACTCAACCTCACTCAGAATGACTTTTTCCTGTCCCCAGCTCTCCTCTTGGACCATGCACAGGCAAGCAGCTGACAGCCTCCAGCGGGCAGGACAGAGCCTGGGGCTGAGCCAAACATCTGTGCTGACTATAGTCTGGCCTCTGGTGAAGAAAGGCAGAGGCAGCAGTTAGGATGAAAGGAACAGTTAGAGATGAATTTAAGTTTTCATCTAATTTGCCTAACTAGTACTTCTTGTGCACACATGTACTTTAGTATCCCACAGAGGACAGAGAACGATTTCGAGACACCCCATCTACTGACAGTTTCTCTAGAAAATAGTCTCACCAAGGACAGGAGCACCACTTTCTCCCTTTGTTCCTTCCAGTCCCCGGGGGCGCTCAGAGCCTGGGAATGCTTTACCAGTCTGCCCTCTGCCCAGTCCACTGCAATCCCTCAAAAGCAGCGAGTCACCCATGGCAGCATGCCCCCAGCCCTCCCTTCCCACACCAGCCCCAACTCAACCTGGGATAGGGGCTCCTCCTCCTCTTCCTAGGATTCACTGAAAAGAATGGGACCTCTACACTCCCATCTTTCCTGCTCCCAAAAAAAAATGCTGCAGATTGAATTCTTGTGCATTCTGGAGTGATACAAGAAGAAACTCTGAAAACCACTCTCACCTGTGCTATCTCCAATGCAGGGTCACAGCTGTTAAAATTTCTGACCCCACACCCACTGCTGCAGGTTCCCTGGGCTCAAGCACTTCCAGCATGGATTTTCTTATTGAGAATTAAGTAGTGGCAAACTTTGCCAGCCTCCTAGGAGTACAGCAAGTCTCTCCTAGAACACAGGCAAGTTGGAGCCCTCGTCAGCCACCAATGAGAGGGAGAGAGGAAGAAAAAGATGCATGAAAGGGGGTGGGGGACAATTTTTTTTTTAAAGCACTTACCGTTGTGCAGACAGGGGAGCAATGCAGCACGGAGGAGAAAGCGGGTATTCACGCTATGATAAGCAAAGAGGAGGAGAGGAGGGCAAAGGGAGGAATCAACGCAAGGACTTACCCAGAATATCAAATTGAAGAGGAACATCATGTACTTCAAGCAGCAGAGGCAGCCCCTGGCCATGTTGCACTTCTTAAATTCTAGGAGGAACACAAAGGACAGGTCCAGGTAAAACACCACGTACTTGCTGCCTTTGGGTGCATTGTACTTGTCGGTCTTAACGCCGGCCTCCGCGCGGCTCTGGCCCCGGGAGCCCGCGGTGCCGTAGAAGGCGCCGGCCGTGAAGCCGCGGCCAAACGGACGACCGGAGGTGGACGGCTTGCCAAAGTCCGAGTCCTTGCTGTCCAAAGATGGACTCCGGTGAATCGAAGAATCCTCGCTACTCGACTTCTCCATGCTCGCGTCGTTCCCAGGGGGCGCGAGGAGCGGGGGGCATCGCTCCCAGAGTGGGACGGAAGGGGCGCCCAAGTCGGGCGCGGGCTGCAGGCAGGCTGGCGAGCCGGCGGAGCTTTGCACGCCCCCTCTCTGCACCCGGCGCACTCCCGGACGAAACCTGCTCCCGGGGGCCGCTGCTTATGGGACGGCACCCCGCTCCCGGCCGGCTGGCCCGGGAGGGCTCTGCGGCACTGCGCGGTTCTATCTATGCGCGCTCTCGAACGCTCTCCGGGAACCGGTTCGCCTGCGTAACTTGGCCTCTTAGGGGAGGCTGTAATTTGATTTCTCTTTCCAGAGCGACAGCACGCCTCCCGGCTGCACCCACCGCTCCACGCGAGGCCGAAGGGCGCCGAGATCCAGGCTCCCTGGGCACACCTCTCCTAGTCCAGTCCCAGCCCTGAGCCCGAGCACTTTGCAGGCGCTCGGCCTCCTCTAGCTCCACGACTTTGCGGAGCTGCTGCCGGCCCTGGGCTTCCCGGGCACAACGGCAGGCAGTGCCTAGGGATCCGCCGCAGCTGCAACCGCTGGGCTTTCCCTGCGAAATCCCAGCCCCGACTCCAGACTCCGAAATCGCCTGGAGCCCCCTCCCCGGATCCTCAGCCCCACCCCCTGCTTTGCATTTGACCAATGGGCATGAGGCCTGCCTGGCTCCGTTTGGAGAGCCACCCCCCCCCCCAATGACACAATATCTTTAATAGGATTAGCGTTCTGCTGTGTGCCTATACAAGTGCGCTGCGAACCCTCGCTAAATGTCAAGGGCTCTGCAGCTGGGGGTGAACCAGAACCTTCATCGGAAAGCGCTGGCATCTTTAACTCAAGAAAGAGGGCGGCGAGAGAAGGGGGATGGCTGGAGGCACCAATGACCCAAAGAAGCCGAAGGAAAGGTCTGGGGAGAAGCACTGGAGAGGGCACGAAATGTGGCCACTGTCAAGCTGGCCGCCGCCTCCTGCAAACACCGGAGCCGGTCGGCCTGGGGCACATGTTCTCCTGGCTCTATCTACTCATACGCCTCCCCCCCCACACACACACACACACACCACACATACACACACGCGCGCGCACACACACACACACACACACCACGCTTTTGCACACGTGGGGCTGGCTAGAGCGAACAGGGAGAAGAGATCGCAGGGTAGGCAAGAGGTGTGGGAAAGCGTTTGGGGGCCTCCGCGGGTGCGCCGCCCTCCCCGCCCCCTCTGCGCGCACACGTACGCGCGGCTCCGCGAGGCTCCTGCAGCTGCGCGAACCCCCGCCCCCGCATTCCCGGGTGGGACGCCGCGCCACTGGGGCTCTGGCTGGGTTCTAAGGGGCAGGTGGCAGAAGTGGGGTCCTGCCTTGCTCCCCGCAGCCTGCCTATACCAAGAGTGAAGCAATGTAGGAGTACTCATAGACATAGGCTGGGTCCTCTCAGAGTAGCGAGGAGTGCATGAAAGGAGGTGGTCAGAGAAACAGCAGGAGGAATGCGCTTGCCGAGGGTTTCAGACGGACCACAGCAACACTTTATTGTCTGGAAAAACACTGCGACTAGGGCAGCTTCCCTTAGGCTCATGTAGAAGTCTTCATTGATATCCTGTGACCACCACAGTTTGCAAATGATGGAGACTAGAAGGCTTGAGGGGCGGGGATCCCATCCCTCTTCTTCCACCATCCTTGTAGCTCCGCAAGAGAACTGACGGTACTACTAGAGCAGGAGCTAAGTTTAAATGGGCTCTGAAACCCCAGACCTTACTCTGGGCTTGGTTTCTGGGAGGCACTGCACAGAGATGGCTGGATGGAAGCCTCCATACCCTACTTGAGGTTGGGTGTGAAATGCCCAGCCTTGCATCCTCCCAGGCATTTATTCCACACCAGATACTGTGTGCTAAGCACCAGGGGCAAGCCCCTGAGGAAACATACAAGATGTGCCCCTGCCCTTCAGGGGCCCACAATCCAGTCACAAAGACAGGAGGGTATTAATCACCCAGCAGATGGGCAGAACTGAGCTGGCCATGGCTGCAGGGTAAAGGAGATATGAATTCCATCCAGAGGGACTTCAAAACCCTCATCACAGTTCACCAAAGTGACTCTGTACTAGAATCTGCACCAGGCAGACCTGCATCCTAGAGGTGAAAGCTGTCAGATTCTGAGGGCAGCTCAGCCTCTTTAAAGGAGCCTGCAAGGTTTTACTTGTCTGAGCTTCTTCCCAACACAAGTGGGAATAAAGCCTACTGTGTATTGCAGCCTCCAGTAAAGTGCTCTCTCCTGCTCAGCACAGTGGTCCTGTGGATGCTATCTACAGATGAAGGGGCAGGTGTTTAACTGGCTCCGACTGAACACCACTCAATTGGAATGGCTAACACCTTTTGTCCTCTTCTGCTTCACCTGGCAGGCCCACTACAGAGGGGCTCATGGCTGTCACTTGATTCTCACAATGTTACTTCCTGGGTTCAGGGAAAGATTGTTTGCCAGCTAGACTAGGAATCAGGAGACTGCCATTCCCTTCCAGCTCATCCTAACTATGTTATCAAGGACAAGGTAATCTGCCTTTCTGCATTGCCATTTCCTCCTTGTCAATCAAGAGCCTCCTGCAGGTGTTGTGTGAAGGGAGCTGGTGGTGGTGATTCATTTACTCATTTAATCCTCGTTACAACCATACCAGATAGGTGTGGTTATTAACCCATTTTACAGACAGGAAACTGTGTAATTTCAAACAAAGAGGGTATGCCCTGGACACCAAGAAGGTGCTGTTATGACCTGGGCATGGAGCCACTTGGTGTTACCAAGCGTCCTACCAAGCTGGCCCCCTCTACTTTCTAATTGCTTTCCAGTTCTCTCATCCCCAATTCACACCTGGGTTCAGCTGGAACAGTCTCCTGATTGCCCCTGGATTGTTCCACCTTCGTGTCTGATCAAAAATGAATGTGTGCCAGGCGCGGTGGCACATGCCTGTAATCCCAGCAGTTCAGGAGACTGAAGCAGGAGAATCAAAAGTTCAAAGCCAGCTTCAACATTTAGCAAGACCCTAAGTAACTCAGCGAGACCCTGTCTCTAAATAAAATACAGAAAGGGCTGAGGATGTAGCTCAGTGGTTAAGCACCCCTGGGTTCAATCCCTGGTACCAAAAAAAAAAAAAAAAAAAAAGAATATGTGCCACTGTTTCCTTATAAGCTTAAGGGCCTGAGGGCCAGAAGACAGGGAGACAACAGGCAGAAGAAGCTGTTCAGTGTCAACAGTTCTGCTCCCTCCTGGTCACACTTGTCAAAGCCACATTCAAGTCCCACTTGTCAGTTTTTGAACAGAGCTACAGTTAAGTCCCATCAGGACACTGGCATAGTCACTATCAGAATAATAAGAGCAACTTTGGTTAAGTCCTTATATGTACCAGAAGCCAAGTTTCCCTCATAGTGACTTATTTACTCATTTAATCCTCATTACAACCATACAAGATAGGTGTGGTTATTAACCCATTTTACAGACAAGGAGACTGTGTGATTTCAGACAAATCATGTGCTATACTCTCTTGGACTTTAAACACATTTCCTGCCCTTGGAAATCTTCCCAGCCTAACAGAATCTTAAAGCACAATGGGGAACCTGAATTAGTGTGCCCTGATCCAAGGTCATTATTTGAAAGAGCCCTGAGTAAGGAGCCAAAGGGAGAGAAGAAATGAATGGGGCAGTATGTCTGGACTGCTAATCAGTGGAGGTGAGCAACCATGGAGATGGCCTGAGAAATCTTAAAGAGGATAGAAGGACCAAAGGATGCAGGTAAATGGAGTGTGGAAGACAGGGAGCAAGTCCTGTCTGAGGACAAGGCTGTAGAGGAGTGTCTGAAAGTCAGGCTTAGCTAGAACACAACCCACCTCCACCCCATCCCCATGAACAGACCATTCATAGATGGCAGATTGTTCACTGTGAGCAGGACACTGAGCAAGGACCCACCAGGAGAAAGGAGGCAAACCAGCTAAAGAGACCAGTCTCCTTCCCCGACTCCACACATACCTAGAGAAGCCCCAAACAGTGATCCACAGTGCACTCACACAGAAGGACAAGCAAGGAGCTGTTCTGTGGCCCTGCCTTTGGAGAAGGACATTCTAAAGTGGGTGGGCACAGGAAGAAAGAGGGACAGAGGACACTCTAGAAAGGATTAGGTGTGGTCCATTCAGCAGGCCTGAATGAAATGGGAGAATATGCCTGTGAATCAACTTGAGCTAGTTTACAAGGTCTTGCAAGATGCATGCAAAGTCTAGACTGCATCCTGCAGTTCCTTCCCAAGCAGTAGAGGAATGTCATCACACCAGGGCCCTAAAGAGATGGGCTGACAACGGGATAAGGCAAGGCAAGGCAAGGGATAGACAGGCAGGTTTCAAGGGTTGCCACAGTTCCTTAGACATGGGGTACAGAAGGACCAACCAGGTAGAAACTGTGATGTGAGACACCATCTCTCCTGTCCTCTCCCATTCCTCCACAGCCCACCAGGCCCAGGAGGGCCAGAAGGCACAGGCAGCCTTGCGGGTTTCTTCAAGCATTTGAACAAGGCAGACCTACTTGGCTTTTTTTTTTTTTTAACAAAAAAAAAAAGTGAAGCAAGTACAGAATTCTCAGAGGGGAGGAAGAAAAGTGAATGTGTGAAATCAACATGCAACATCTCTGCTAACTGGCAACCAGGGAGCTGCAGGCTTCCAAGTAAATGCCAAGCTCTCTGTGCCTCTCCCTGAATTTCTGGGGCTTCAGAGTAAGACAGAGCTCAGTCTTTGGTCCTTCCCTCATCCACACACAGTCTCAGCCAAGGGGCCAGTCCAGTCTCAGCCAAGGGGCCAGTCCAGATCCCCAGGCTGACCTGTGCTGAAGGTCCTGTATGTAGCATGTATAGCTTGCAAGGCTTCTCACATCCCCAAGACTCAAACAAGGCAAGCTGCCCCCACCGGGCTGGAGTTAGATGACTCCCAAAGTTCAACCTGCTATGCAAAGGAACGTTTGAGATAGGCCACCGCAGGAGGACCAGGGAGAGTTACTCACCTTGCTCCAGTGTTTAAACTCTAAACTTGGGATCTTCTTTGGCTATATAGGAAATGCTTTCAGTGCTGAACAAACCACTCAGGAATGGGGCCAAAGGGGAAGAAGGATGAGGAAGATGAGGTCCCTAGGAGGGGCCACCTCCCAGAGGTTTACAAGACGGACTAATAAGAAGTGGATGGTGGCAGGGGCCACTCTCCTATTTGCTAAGGAAATGAAATGGCTAGGACACTGATTCAGAATGGTTGGTAACAATGACAAGTGAAGGAGTCAGGGTAGAGAAGAACAAAAGGTACTTTTGGGGAGCATGGGGGGTTTTTGAGGAGGGGTGGTGTTTTTTGTTTTCTGTTTTTTAGTTTCTGAGATCAGTGAAGAAAACCATCAAAGCTTGGTTTAATAGGAGGGTGAACAATTTGAGGGAGGGATGGACTGCTCAGGGTACATGATAAAGGGTTCTAGGGACCTCCTCTCCTGGAGAGAGGTAGCTCCTTCATCCTCTTCAGCACTTAATTAGACTGCAATGACAGTGCA